ACAGCAGGCAGCTGCTGCAGTATCCATTTCTTGCCCTCTTCTTAATCCCAGCAGTCTCCTCTCCTGTGAAGGTGCCAGTGCCTTGTCCTTTTCATCTGTCTCTGGAGCTCTGCCTTCACCTCAGCTCCCAGCTCAAAACCCTGTGGCTTCTGCAGCTTGCTCAGCAATGTGCTGTGAACGTGTCCAGTGTAAACATCTGTGACTCTTCTCAACCGTTCTGTCACTCGGGGCAGGTGACCTCTGGGTTGTGGTGTTGCAGTTGTTGTACCTGTGAAGATGCTGATTGTACACTCAGATGCATCAACAAGCAGCAGTTGATCAAATCCCTGCCCTGGAGCCTGCAGGGATTTTGGCCAGGAATGACCTTTGTTGTGGCAGCTCAAGAGATTCTTATCACTGGGATGCACTGAAGTGCAACATTCATATACAAGATAATTCATTAAACTTGAGTGTATTTTTTACCTGGTATGTCTTTCAGCATGTACCTGGGCAATTGTACCTCTCCTAATGAGTTGAAACTATCTAATGATAAAGTCCTCAGGGATGATATAAGTATCTCCTGTTAAGTATGATTTATATAGAGGGAAGCAAGATGCTTATGTAAAGATGTTCAGTTTAACAGCACCCCTGTTCCCGACATCTGTTTGCAAAAGCTTCCTACCTTTAGGAAGTCTTTATATTAGGTGTCCTTGACTTAGCCGATTTTCAGGCCAGCACTACTGCTCAAAATAGAAAAAAGTACTTTCTGCTTTTTGTGTAAAACAAACAACCCTCCCACCATCACCCAAAAAAGCTCTTAACTGTAAACACAAACCAAAAAGCCCTGAACAAAATACCATCTTTCAGGTCTACCTTTCTTACCAAGAGTTCATGAGGAGAAGCCAAATTGGTTTATTGGTTTAACTTGTTCATTAGTTCAAAAGTAAACTCAGTTGAGCCAGGGTTTACTTTGTCATATCGTATTTGGATTTTTACGTGGTTTTGGCTGTTATGTATTAATTAGTGTAGGAGTGGGGTAAATAATGAAGACTGAGAGGCTTAGGTGCATCATCCTGTGAAAACAGCAGAGGAAACAATTATTTTTCTTTTCTTTTTTTTTTCCCCTGTAGGACTCTGACATTGGGTCTGTCAGGGTTGGAAAGTGCAGAGTTTTAAGACATGTTCACCTGGTCTATCTTGTTTCATCAGTGACAGACTTGGGGCAGTCTCAGAACCTTTAAGCTTCAAAAGTGTAAAAAAAAAGCTCCTTTACCCTTGAACTGGGATAAAAAACTTTGAGCTTGTACCTTTGCCAGAAAGTCTTATCTCTTGAACTGATGCTGTGTTTGTGCATGATTGGTTTTGTGGTTTGTAGTTTTATTTTTTATATTACCTTATTAAAAGGATGCACTCCTAGTAATTAATAAAATAAGGTTTAGATTTTAGGAATGGGAAACACTAGTTCTCTTAACAAGTTGTCTTCTTGTTGGCAGAATGTCACATTCTGTCCCAAAGCTAAAACTGTGCGGCCAGGTCTGTCACTTCTGCTGTGTGACTACAGACTGTGAAAATCACACACTTGTTTCTACTGTGTGGGATTCTGGATTAGTCTTAATTCATCAAGATATTAATTTAAACCAAATGAAGAGGTCTTAAAGGACATCCCTTCAATGTGATCTTGTTTTGGTATCTTTGAGCTGTAATTTCCATCAGTTGAACATTTCAGTATCCTGGAAACTCAGGAGTACTGTTCATAACTTTTTTTGATGTTTAGTGTCATTCTGCATAAAGAAGAATTCCCTCATGAAATCTGTGGTTGAAGTTTATATTTCAGTTGGGTTTATGGTGTTCATTATTTAAATGTTCCACTCCTGTTAGAAATGAATCTTTGGTGAATTTTTGTCCTTCCTAAAATACTACATGGATGTGACCCCTGGGAATCTAAGGGCAGCCAGAGCTGTTGGTCCTGGCAGCTTTTGTCTGGGTTTTCCCTTTCTCTGCTCATCACAAATCTGGAGATGTCCTGGCTCCATTTCCTTCTCTTTGAATAATAATAATAATAATAATAATAATAATAATAATAATAATAATAATAATAATAACAATGGATTGGTACAAGTATAAGAAATAATGATCTGAAAATACAGGAAATTGAAGGTAGTTTTTTGAGAAGCAGCTGGAATTCCAGATCTGTAAAACTGGCACTAATTTGCCCAATTTTGCTTTTAACCTGTCAGTCTTCAGAAGCATTTTCTTCTCATCAGAGAAAAATAAAATAACTCATGAAGTTGTTACTAAGCTGGTAGCAGGAGAGAATTTTGAAAAAGTTTGCAGATTAAAGTGCATCTGAAGAAATTATGCACTCAGGCAGGTAATTGAGGTGTTTCTGTTGTGAGTGGAAGTTTCTGAAGCTGTTAGCTGTGTGGAGGTCAACAGCTAGAATAATTTTAAAAAGAACTAACATATAATCCCATATTACACCTTAATCTCACTATTATGGCAAGATAACTCTGGAAAAAGAGACAGCCAGTGTGAAATATTAATCCTGGATGACATTTAGGAGGTCATAACGTGGATCCATAAATTTAAAGATTGATGTGGCTGGTGGCCCAGCAGTCCTTAAAGGTTTTTAGCCTTGTTAATCTGGATTGGATCCTGATTTCTTAATCCTGTAAAATAAGGATAATGTAAACTTCAGCTAAGTTACATTGTGGTTTTTGTGATGTGGTTGCATATAAGACATTAATTAATTAGATTCTAAAAGTTACAAAGGTCTTCAGTGCAGAATTTTTAGGGCTGAAAGTGATAATTTATTAGTGATGATGGGGAAGACACCTCCACTCTGCATCAGTTTTGGGATTTTCTGGTACTCTACTGGGAAAAACCACAAGTTTTGCCTGAATCCACAGCTGTTGAAAGGAGTTAGGTTCTCAACACACGCAAAAGTGATCATTCAAACACAAATGAGATTAAATGTTGAGGTCCAAAGCAATTATTCACCTATATTTTTTCTTCATGAAGGAGGAAAGGAAGGGAAAAAATAGAAAAGTAGAAAATGCCAAAGATAAATAAGCATGTTATCATGCACCTAACTAGGCTAATGCAAATATTTAAAAATACAACTCCAGTGACAATTGCAATTCCAACTCATGCTAACCATTTTCTCTGGCCTGTAAGCCCTAAAGGCTTTAGCAGGGTAGTAACCCATGATCCAGGTTCTGATCTATTAAACCAGGCTCTTGGTTGCATAGACTGAAATAATTCTCCAGCTTGATCACTTAGTTCATCTTAGCTCATGCCTCCTCTATGGAGGATAATGCACTATGGATGGTAATGCAACACGCAGTTCCAGATAAACTCAGCATATTCCCAGCTATATTCCCTTTTCAGTTCCCTTTTCCTAATTTCATAAAATTCAGTATCTGTATATGGGGTACCTTTTGTGGTAATTTGAGATGCTTCATCTTTCAAATCCTCAGTCAGTTTTAATAAACAGGTCCTTGTGTAACAAGCACTTTGTCAAGTTAGTTGTGTAGGGATTCCAACTCAGAGAGTGGATACTGTTTCTTTAGGCAGCCTTGGTTCTAATTCATCATATTCTTCTCTTGTTAATCTCTCTGAAAAATTGAGCCGAATTGTAAAAGTTGAAACACCAGCAAGGGAAGGAGCTGCACATTTGGCCTTCACTTACACAGAGCTTAAACAGAGAACAGAGGCATGGCTGTGTTGCAGCTTGTCTTCCTTGATGAGGATCCTATGGCAGGATCTAGATGATCTTCCAACCCAGGCCAAAGTGGTTGCTTTTACATCTCAGTAGAGCTATCGGGAATGTGCCCAAGATCTCAATGGCATGGTCAGCAGAAGATAACAAATTCATCAGCTTGAATATTATATACGGTTCTTCCTTTCCTTAACAAGCAGGAGTTATGGCCAAACTTCTTCCTCTCAAATTCAGCAGTTCAGTCTAATTTTAGCAGCAATATGTGAAAAACCCAGCAGATGGGGATCTACAACAGTATTTTATTTATACAACAGCAGCTTCTTAGGGACCTTGAACTGGGCAGAGGCAGCTGCAGTGCAATGGTCTTTCCTATCACAAACAGTTTCTTCAGTCTAGAGCAGCATTAATGCAATTCCCTCAAATGGGAAGCACTTTTATAGAGAATAAACTCTAGCATGATTTATTGCATGGTTTTGCCTTTTTGTCATTGAATATGGCCCAAATTTCAGCTTTCCAAAATCTCCAGGACAAAAGAGAGCCCACCATATTCCCAAGAAAATGAAGGAATTGCATAAAGCATGGTTACACATAGTATGGCTATTGGAATGAATGCTTCCTGGAAACACTTGAAAAATCAGGATGAACAAACAATTAGAAAAGCATTAAAGGGGTCTAAGATTGGGATTAAATCTTAATTTACCATGTTTATTTTTACTCCATGCATTTTGATTTGGGTAGTACATTGTAGATGCATTTTGCACTTTGGCAGGCTCCCTGGTTTTGAGGATTTTCTTGTTCTTCAAGGAAGGATAATGAAGTGACTTTTTCAGAGGCAGAGGATTTAATTTTCTGTGATGGTAGACTACACTTACAGGAATGGAGAATCTATCATGGGAAGCACAGACTCAGGAAAAGACTTCAAAAGCCATGGTGAGTACCAGCACAACAAAACCTCCAGTGGTACTGCTGGGATGCCCACAGGAGCAAAAACCAGGGAACCCTGCACAAACCCAAAGAACCTCAAAATATTCACCCTGTATTTGTCATCCAGGAAAATTTGTACAGTAGTCACAGCTTAGCTGCTGGGTTTGAAGAAAGAACTAAACCCAAGAAGTTCCTTGGCATGTATGAAAGCGAGAAATCAAGCTATCATAGGCATCCTCTGTGCCCACCCTCCCTCTGAAAGCCCCATGTTAGTTAATGTGCTGGTACCCCCCCAAATTCTATTGAAACCTTAATAAATACTGTGGATATTTTGCATCATACAGCAGACACAGGAATTAAATCCACACACAGATGCTTTAAATCAATAACACTTAATTAGTTACTTCAAACAAAGTCAAAAATAGCCCTTCCCCAACAAGTCTAGTCAATAAATTTTGATTTAGCAGAAATTGAATAAGAAAAGCAGATAGAAGATAACTTGGATTTAGAGACTAATTATACTGGAAAGCAGAGATTTACCATTTTAAATGGAAGCCATTTAAATGTTGTCAGAGGAAAGAAAGAGTAACAATTTCATCTTTAGCCCATGTAGAAAAAAAATGGTTCCATTGCAAAACAGGTTGAAAGGATGGATTTTATATACTCCAAATCTGCCACCAACTGGGTACTCAAGGAAACTGCATTGCACTCAAATGCAGGCAGACATCCATCGCAGTCTTGTCAGGGCTGGCTGGCAGAATAAAACCCAATGAAGCGATGGGATAAGTGCAAAATGCCCCACCTGAAAAGCCAGAGGGTTCTTAAAACATTGGCAAATTCTGAAAAGACAGATAAGATTTACCCTGTGCTATACCTGAAGGGAGCCTACATGAAAGGTGGAAACTATTTATATTGAAAGACTCCAGTAAAGTCTCTCCAGGGCCTTCTCTTTTTTCTGGAGGTGGAACGAAGAATTGTGACGGCCCAATCAGAGACAATTGTGATATAAAGAGATGCCAGGGAGTGTCAGGTGAGACAGCAGAAAAATGTGGCAGTGCAAAGGAGCTTCTGAAGGCTGCCTACCAGAAGAGGGGCTGCAGGACAGCCCTGTACTGGGCACTGGTGAAATCACACCTCCAATCCTGTGTCCAGTCCTGAGCCCTTCACTGTGAGATGGACATTGACGGGCTGGAGCATGTCCGGGGAAGGGAACCGAGATGGGGAAGGGTCTGGAGCACAAATCTGATGAGGAGTGGCTGAGGGAGCTGGGGAAGCTCAGCCTGGAGAAAAGGAGGCTCAGAGGGGCCTTCTGGCTCTGCTCAGGCTCTAACAGGAGGGAGCAGCTGAGTGGAGGTTGGGCCCTGCTCCCAGGTAACAAAGGACAAAACTAGAGGAAATGGCCTCAAGCTGCACCAAGGGAGGTTCAGGTTGGACATCAGGAAGGATTTCTTCACTGAAAGGGTGATGAGGCACTAGGACAGGCTGCCCAGGGAGGAGGTGAAGTCAACTGGAGCTTTAAGGAAAGCCTGGTCTCCAGCAAGATGGGCTGGGGAGCTCTGTGGGGACTTTCTCATGAGGGCAGCTTCTCCTCCAAGCTGTGACGGGAATATGTCCCTTCTGCAGGAGACTTGGTCCCAGAAAGGATTCAGAGGAACAGGGATGCTGCAGGGCAGCAGCAAGCCAAGGGTGAGACCTGCTTGAGTGACAGCTCTGCCCTCACCCACTGGGGAAGAAGCCTTTTAGATGCTGCCACTGCAGGAAGGGCTTCAGTCACAACTTCTCCTTATGTCACACCAGAGGGGCAAGGGTGCTGGCAGCATCCCTGGGTGTGGTCTGGGTGTGAGCTAAGGTGCAGCTCCTGGTCCATGTCTAAGGTACAAGGTGGGGGTACAAGCGTGTGACCACACCAGATTGCCTGGATTCCAGACAGCTGGGCATGGTGATGGCCTTACCTCACACTGTGCTTTTCAGTCCCAACACACCCCCAGCATGGACTGGAATTGTGCAGGGGGTTCCAGGGGGTAGTTCTGCATCCCAAAGCCCTGCCATCCTCTTTCCCTGGTACCAGAATCAGATGCCATTTGCCACATGGCCAAGGTGCAGATGTTTTCTCAAGCTTCCTTGTGATAGGTGTCTGCCCCTTCACATCAACCCTCAGGGCATTTATTTTCCTTTCCCCCTATTTTGTGAAGCACTGTGTATACTTAGCAATGCTCTATAAATTAAAAGGATTGACATGGATTTATTTCTAAGATCTTTATTAATTTATTTTGAACTATGCCAGATGGAAGTGGCCTTAGGGTTCACAGCTGTTCCCTAGCAGCTAGGATGGGATTGCTCACCAGTCTAAGGACATAACTGGAGTTCCTTTCCACAGCCACTGTTAGTTTTGCCTCTTCAGTGTCACTTGGCTGAAATAGTTGATTTCCCCTGGCCTGTTTGCGCTTTACTTTCTGTGGCTATGTAGCTTGAGAGGAGAATCTGAAACCCTTGCTGCTGCAGAAGTTAGAGGGTATGTTCTTCTTCTTCCTGGGACATGATCCCTTTGTGGGCAGCATAAACTCACAAGACAAATTCAGAACATACTAGGGATGTGCAACAAGGAAAGAACCAGAAGGTTCACTTTGACAGCAGTTACCTCACTGGCTTCTCTACCAGCCAGGCTCCTACCTCTGGACCAGTGGGAGGCTGGAAAAAGCCAAGCTACTCTAATTCCAACAGAGCATCCCTAGCACACTCCATGCCAGACCTGTGGTCACCAGCTGGTGCCCAAATGCTCCTGCTAGCTGTGGGATGTAGAATACTGCAAATTTCTGTTGTGCTAACAGTGCTCAGATCCTGCAGTGGGACTGTGGCACTTGAGAAATACCTGAGAGAGACAAATGGATGAATGACGTCTCTGAAATAAAATCTGTCACCCTGGTGTTGTTATCCTGATTCTCTCCCTCTCTCTTTCTCTTCCCTTCTTTTTATCATTCCCTTCCCTCTCTTTTCTTTCTTTCTTTCTTGCTTGCTTGCTTTATTTTTCTTTCTCCCCAGAGTGAGTTTCCCATCAGTTTCTCAGCCCAAGAATCTGGAGTTGAGGGACATTCTTGGAATTGGTCCTAATTTTCTCACATTTCTGAAAGAATCTGAAAAGCCAGAGGAGGGCACTCAATGCTCACCTTTCCTTTATAAGGGAAAGTGGTTTATCTTTTTTTATCTGCAGCCACACACCATCCTGCTGGTAGAAGAACCTCAGAGCCACTTGGGTTCTATGGGATCCAGTTTTCCAGTACACTGCTAGTAAAAAAAATACATGTAAGAGTGATAAAATACAGCTTTTTACACATATTTTGCTTCATTGTGACTGGAAAAACAGATTTCTTTTGATCTTGGACAAGAGGTGTGGTTTTGTGTGTTCAGTAAATTTTTAGAAGTATTTTATGCCTATTCTCTAAAACAGTTTTTGAGATATATCAAACAAAAGTGTCCTGCATGCACAGGAGACTTTTTCTTCAGCTTTCCTTCAGCAACACTGGTCTGAATAGGCCGAGACACACCAGGAGCCCCCATCTCTGGAAAAAAAAGGAACTAAAGAAAATTTCAGAAGATTTAGCAAAGGGAGGCCAGAAGAGGCAACAGACCCAAAGTCTAGGCGCCCTGAAACATTTTGCCATTGCAGTGGTGAATGGCTGAACCAGGCCATCACATGGGAGGAATGGAGAGTAGATGAACAACTAGGAAGACTGGGGAAGGGTTGGACTTCCTGAAGCTGATGGCAAAATGTAATTTGGGGGTGATAACAGCTGCATGGAAGAAGGGTCACAACTTTCCAGATCCCCCATTGATCCCTCATACCTGGACTTGCTTCTTTTTGCTTTCCAGAGCTTTTACATTTGCCCTGCTGTTCATGTGTTGCCTTGTGACATTTTCTGCTCTGTCTCTCCCTCCAGCTGACCTTCCCCACAATGCTGCTGAACTCTGCCTGCCTGAGTTGTTTGTGTGGCTGAGATGTTTGTACTTTCCCATCTTCAAGCACAGAACCACAGAAGGAAACTTCTCTGTGTCCGTCCCTGTTCTGTCAGCGTCTCCCCTCACAAAAGGGCTGCCTTGTCCTGCTTTCCCCAGAGCACCTCCAAGCACACAGAACATGCCCCTGCTTTTACAGATGGCAGAGCTTTTGACAGGCCTGTATGTATCCTTCCATGTCCCTTTTCCCAGCCTTAGCAGATCTTTTCCAGTACAAGAACTGGGAAGCTTCTTCCCACAGCTTTGCATCTGGCTGTTGTGCTTAAGGTCCTTCTTTGCTGGTCAACTGCTTTCTTGTCTTGCCTGAGTTCTTTAACAGATGACCTTTAGATTTCTCCTGATGCCTTCAGGCAGAAATACCAAACAAAACAGGAAAAACAGAGTTTACATATAGTACACATTAGAGAGATTTCAGGCATCTTCTCAATTTTTTGGACATATGACCAAGCCTTTATGTGAACATAGGGTGAAACAGGAACCACAAAATGCTTTACTGAAAAAAAAAAAGTATTTTAACAATTATTGGGAAAAGGGAAGCAGCAATAGAATGCAGGGATCAAGGGGCTGAAACAGAACACTTTTCCTGTGTCTAGAGAAGGAAGAATTAAGATCAATGAACACAGCTCCTCATATTTTTAGAGAGTGAAAGAAGATGATAAAATATGATGGTATTTGGTCTGGACCCTTGAATCCAGGTTCCCTGGCATGGTCAGCCTTGATGTTACCTGTCAGGGCTGTCTTGAGGACAGGTGTTACTGTGAAAGCACTCAGGGTTTGCCTCAGGGCAGCCACATCTTGCCCTAAGCTTCAGGCACTTGAAAAAAAAATTAGCCTTTCCTTTGGCTAATTTGGGATGCAGCTGCCAATGTGATTGTAGGTTTCTCCTCCATTTTTCACCTTGTTTTGACCATAGCCATGAATGCATGTAGAGAGAAAGTGAATTCCTTTCTCTAGAAATGTAACCTGAGAAGATCTTGAAACTCCTCAGGTTCTGAGTCTCTGAATTCACCACCTTCGCCATCAGTGCTCAAGTCAGTCACCTCCCAGCAGGAACATTCCTGGGGATAGCAGAGATGAAGTGCCAAGTTGGAAGCAGGAGGGAAAGAAAAAGGAAATAAATGACTGGTTCGTAAAAATACTCAACCTAGGAGGCATGAACCATGAACTGAAGAGAGATGCCAGAAGAAAACCAGACATGGCTCAGAATACAAGAGAGAATGACTAATTACAGATGCTTCCTCCAAGTCTGTCATTAGGTGACAGTAATGTCACTGCTGGTGTGATCATGAATATTAGTGCTGGTGCATCACAGCAGCGGCATTATTTCTCTGGGGCAGAGAAAAGGAATACATCCTCTTCTGGAATGCATCCACAAATTGTTACTTCACTCTGTACCATGAAGCTGTCTGTGAAGAAGGCTCTTTTATTCCCTTTCTTGGTGATGGCACAGTGCCCATATTTGCAGTACCCTTAAAAATCCACGTAGCTTTCTCCCTAACCCACAGAATAAAGAACATCCATCGGTGGAATGGCACACACTGTATTAACTTTTGTTCCAAAAGCATCATGTGAAGGACTGCTAAAGCAAAGCCTGTGTGAAGATATTCTGTGCTGCCATCTGGGCACAGCAAGGTTTGCTCTTGTGTCCCTTATGAACATGGGCAAAAGATTCCTGCCTTCTCATTCCCCAGGCTCCTTCACTGGCTTAAAGGTTCATATTCCTTGTATTAAATAGGTATCTCTGAGGCTGGGCTTTCATGACATCTGAAAGGGCAGGCAGCTCCTGCTGATTTGTGACTGCAGATTATCCTGGATGGCTAAAGCTCATGCCATCGCCAGCCATGCCACTGGGTTATTTTTAATTTGGATTGCTTCCCTGATCCAGTGTTCAGCACAGCTCCACAAACAGCAAGACTGGCACAAGTGAGGGAAAATTGCAGTCTTGGGTGGGTGATAACGAACATCTCAGGATTCCTCAAGTTGGTAATGCCACCATACAATCTATGCCATCAAACAGCAGCCTGGTGGGAGCAGCAGGGAGTTAAGAGAAAGCAGAACAAAGGCATTAAACAGAAATGTGCCCTTTTTTGCACACAAAGAGTATCCTCAGAAGAGGTTCGATTTCAGCATCTTTTCCAAGTGGACGTTACACAGCTGGAATCTGTGCTCATCTCTTGCTAAGTACGTCTAAGGAGTGGAGCTGCCAGGTTTGTACTACTCTGCTTATCCCATTGGAGCTCTGGTTCCACCTTATTTTCTTCCAAAAGCCTCATCTCCTCTTCTGTGTGTACTTGTGGTCACTTCCTCCTGAGCTCTGCTCGTGGTGTCAGTGCAGCTCTGTGTGCAGCTGTTAGAGGGATGCAGATTGAAATTTCATTGGCTGAAAAGTAATGGTTTCCCAGTCTACTCTTGGTTATTTTTAGCTGGATCAGTTCCTGATCCAATTCACTATATGGACACACAAACAGCTGTATCAGTGTAACAGAAGGAAAATGTTTGAGGGAAGCAGAGGAGAGGCTTAGCTGAGTTTTATCATCACTGATACCAAGTGGGAAACCACAATCATGAATGATTGTTCTAATGCCTGGCAGCAGTTATTTAAACTTCTCTACACCTCCCTGTCTTACTTCTTATGTAAGAAACAAAGCCTAGGGAACTTCCCAACTCTCAGAAAGGAAACGGCCCTTTGCCTGATATAGCTGCCCCTTTCTGCATGAATCAAGGCAAGCTGAATGCAGGGAGCCTGAACAAGTCTGCTGGCAGGCAAAGCAGCCAGGGTTCCTCTTCTTTTCCTGTTGTAGTTTAGCCAGCCTGTACATTTAAAGGTCAAGTCCTGCAGAGACCAAAATTTGCCAGGACACCAGCCAAAAGCAGCTACCCAGAAGTGTGCAAAATAAACATAGTGGTCAAAAACCATGCCTGAGACACATGCTAAATACTGGCCACTACCAATAGACAGTGATTCTGACACAAAGATGGAAAGTATAATTAAAAATTTAGCCATTTATTCAGAAGCAAAAAAATTTATTTAGTCAATTAAAATAATTTACTGAGGCATATTACATGCTCCTTGGTGCCTGACCAACTGCTGCTGTGGGCAGGGAATGGTGGGGATGTTGTTCCATGAAGACATTCTTCCATCCAAAGGCAGAAGTGTAGAAAGGATTCACAGAATAGAATGGTTTAGGTTGGAAGGAACCTTTAAAGGTCATCTGGTTCCAACCTCCCTGCCATGGACAGGGACACCTTCCACTAGCCCAGGTTGCTCAGAGCCCCATCCAGCCTGGCCTTGAATAGTTCCAGGGATGGGGCAGCCACAGCTTCTCTGGGAAACCTGTGCAGGGCCTCACAACCCTCACAGGGAAGAATTTCTTCCCAATATCCAACCTAAACTCCTCTCTGTCAGTGTGAAGCCATTTCCCCTTGTCCTGTCACTCCAGGCCCTTTTAAATAGTCTCCCTCCATGTTTTCCATAGGCTCCCTTCAGATGCTGGAAGGCTGCAATGAGGTCAAACAAAACTACTCAGAACAAAACTACTAAAGTACCTTTAAGGTCATAAAGTCCAACCAAAAACCATCTTAGTTTGCATGGTCCATTTGTGTGTTTTCCTTTCTTGATGATGATCATGACTGCAGCAGCACTCTGAAAATGTGGACAAAACCACTGCTTATTTTGGGGTTATCCTAGGAATTTCTACAAAGCTGTGCAAATACTGGCACCTTTTTTATCTCAGAATTGCATCCAGGGATGACAAGCAGCAATTTCATTTAGGAAATTTTTAAAAGCCTTTTAATCTTTCAGGTGATTATACCTACAGGTTTTTTACATAAGCAAAAAGAAATACAAGGAGAGGTGTAAGCACAAGGACGTGTTTTCCATGGATGATGGACATCCATCATGGCAACCTTCCTCCTGCACAGTCACCTGAAGTTTCACAACTCTGGTTCAGACTAAATACCAATGATCTGATTCATTCTTCCACTGAATTTCACTATTAATAATTGTAAAAAGCACATTTAGTGTCATGACTCAGTAGGCAAAGTATCTCCTGCTCCTCCTGGCTGAAGTTTGCAGCAGCCCACACCCACCTCCAGCAAAGGTTGTCCATAAATGGCCCAATGGCTCCATAACCAGGATCCTGACACTCAGTTTTCCCAAGGATTATTGTCTGAGCTTGCAGGGGAATTTGTCATGAGTACCTGCAACAGAGAAAGCCCCCCCAGTTATGTTTTGCTTTAAAATAGCATCCCATACCTCCCAAAACTGAAGTCATCACAGACACATCGCAAATTCCCAATGTACAAGCTGCTGACTTTTTGGAGGAAGGCATTAAGACAAATACTGAGTGATTTGTGAGAAGTCACAAAGGAAAGCAAAGGTTTATTAATACACCTTGATGTATAGCAGTTGACTGGAAATGTTCAGGGGTCTTGGAATTTAAAAAAAAAATGGAATCCCTCACATTACAACCCCTTTTGTAGCTCTGAGATCAAAATAATGGAAAATAAGTTGAGAGACCCTGTTGTTATTAAATCTTTAATTCCTGGGAGTCCCAAGTGGTCAGCATTACATAAAACTTCTATGAAAAATGAATTCCATTCCATGAATAACTTGGATGTATTACGTAAAATATTTACTGAAGACAAATGCCATTCCATGAATAGCTTGGATGCTGTTTACTTTGAATAACAGCATGTTCATCTACTGTAAATTAACTTCTGCCCAATGAAATTACTTTTATCCCTCAGTCTATCACCCTTTTCGTACATAAAGTTTATGAACACATTTCTATTTTAAAATACAAGTTTCATAAGAGCCTATACATGAAAAAGGACACTGACTGCAGCTCATTAGTTGCTCTTGACAAAGGCTCAGGGGAAGGGGAAAGCAAATACAACAGAGAAAATAAAATATCTGTGATGAAGAATCTTTAAACCTGGTCCAGGGTTGGGAGACAACCACAGGAACATTAATTAGAGCTCAAGTCTACATCCCACTGAGTTAATCTTTACATTAGTGGACCGTCCCTTAAGTGAGGTCCCATCTGCAGGTGTTTCTTAGCTATATTGAAGGGTTAGAGTTGTCTCAGCAACTTTAAAAAGCTGAATCACTGGATGTAAGAAAAAAAATTAATTATTCTACCACTTTCCATACACAGGCCCTTTTCTGTAAAGCTGCTTATCCTGGTATTTTATAATATGTAATATAATGACATTGGATAGTGTGTGCAATAAATTAATCTGCCTTTTTCATATACAGTTAGCAAAACTACAGCTATACATATACAAATTCTCTTTTCCTCTAACTGAACCAACAAGCTTTTTAGACAAACCCCACAATCTGCGTTTCCTGACTGTGTTGTTTCAGATTATGACTTGCTCACCTTTTTCCCCTCTGGGCTTCTGTCTTCTCTGGTCTTATGACTTCACTGTTTCTATTCCACACATCCCTTCCAGAAGACGAACTACAAAATCACAGTAGTGAAACTGCTGATTTTTTGAAACCACAGTTCTCAGAGAAAGATATATTATCAGCCCATCCTTGTCCTGAGCAAAGATTAACTGAGTATTAAAAAATGGTAAAATATTATAAGTAATAACAAATTGAGAATAGATCATCAAACAAAACAAGGAAAGCCCCTTTGTCAAATACTGAAGCAGCCTTTCTAGGGCATGATTCACCTATTCCTAAGGTAGACACCTGAAACAGGTCAGATGATTCATCACCTAATAGTGTCCATTTCTCCCAAGAAGTTTCAAAATCAAACACAGTTCAGAAGCTCTCTTTGATTTTAATACATATTTTCAGATTTGGGGATTAATTTCATGGTGTAGTTTTGACAGGCTTGGGGATGGTTTTTTCCTCTAGTTTTTGAAGGAAATACAGCTTTTTTTATCCCACTGTCAGCTGCCCATTAGGAACCAACTGTCTTATTTCAATCAAATACAAGCATGTAAAGGAATCAGAGATGAGGAGGTTCCTATATCCAGGAATCAATGTTCCTCTAAACAGGGAGCAATGCTCCTGTAGCCAGGGATCAGTGGTTAGGCGCAGCAGAGAATTCTTACTGGCATCCCCATGGGAGGATCAGCAGGGAGAACCTGCCTTGTCCATGCTCTTAAGCATTTTAAGTGGTATCCTGTCCAGGCAGTTTGTGCTCTTTAGACTGGAAGGATTATATAATATATATATAATAATATATATAAGATAATGATTTCACTACATAGCTGATACAAGGAGGCTACATAACTCCAAGTGATCCTGGAAGCTGGTGCTCCTAAAATGAAGGAGATGTTTTACACCTGTTCTTTGGCAGCCATTCCTCCTCAGGAGCTCCTGAAATGCTCACATTCCTTAGAAGATGGGAACCTCCTCCCCCTAGGAGAGTCTCTAAAGCAGATTATCAAAAATCAATCAGAAATTAATTAACTTCTCCTATGAGGACAGGCCTAGATAGTTGGGGTTGTTCAGCCTGGAGAAGGGTCCAGGGAGACCTTATGTGGCCTTTCAATATACACAGGAGACAAGATGGAGACAATTGGCAAGAGCCTGGAGTGACAGGATGAGTGGGAATGGCTTCACACTGACAGAGGCTAGGTTTAGATTAAGTATGAGGAAGAAATTCTTTACTGTTAGGGTGGTGAGGGTAGAAGGCACAGAATCTGTGGCTGCCCCATCTCTGGAACTGTTCAAAGCTAGGTTGGATGGGGCTCTGAGCAACCTGGGCTAGTGGAAGGTGTCCCTGCCCATGACAGGAGGTTGGAATGAGATGAGCCTTTAATGTCCCTTCCAACCCAAACCATTCTCTGATGTTATGATCTGGGAGCCCATGAGGAGAGAGCTGATGACATTCCTAAACCTGGGAATTGAGAACAAAGCCCCAAAGCCCCACAGGGACTCTGGTTTCCTGGCAGGACTGGGATGCACAAGGAGTGAGCTGCACATACCGGTTCCTGTGCTTGATAGGGCCTGGGGGCCTGGCACCTGCTCCCAGCACCTGGCCCAGCAGGGCCCCCTACACCCACTCAGGAATCCTGGCCAACCCCACCGTGGGAAGCCACTGGGAACAGGGAAGGGGGTGGAGCACAACACGGCCAGGGAGAAGCAAGAAGCCACCACTGGCACAGGACAGGGAACAGCTAACAGCCAGTCTGGTGCAGGCTGGGTGTGGGAACACATCTGCAGCAATAATATGTTTGCAAAACAACCTCTGGGAAGAAAGCAGGGAACTAGGTTTATTGAGTCTAGAGGAGAAGGCTGGAAATAGGGCAAGACATGACAATGCAGTTGCAGTACACGAGAGGTTGCTGTTAAGGGAGACAGTGATTACACTGCTGGAAGGACAGAGATAAGATCTAACCAACTTAATTTCCAGGAAAGAAAAGAAGACAGGAGAAAAGACCAAGAGCAGATGTTGCAAAAACTTTCTCTGCATAAGCCAGAGCTGGAAAATACTATCTAGGAGGTTGTGAAACCCCCTGCACCAGAAGTTAACCAGACATCACCATGCTCTCTCAGTAGAGGACGGACTGCTGAGCTATTCCCCAAGCTGGCCTTTGGAAAACAAAAATCCATCCATCCTTTTCAAAAATAAACTAAAAACCACCCATGCATGTCACATGGATCATTAAACACATGGGTGATGAGTAAAAAGTTTTGCATTTGGATAACAAAGCTACTATAGATTTACAAATACTGATTTCAATGCAGGCATTCAAATTCAAAACATTATTTGGATAGAAAACTTTGATCTTTCCTCTCAAAGAAACCTGCAGTCGTTGAGCAGGTAAATGCTGCCAAGACCTTTTAGTGCTATTTCTGTCCCATGGCACCTCGTTCCTGCAATCAACCTTTCTTCTCTGTTATATTCTGCTCCCATGTAGAGAAGCAGCAGCCATTTTATATTCTGTGGAGCACTTTTACTCCTGTTAAAATGTCTGTGGGCTGGGCCAGTGTCACAGCAAGATCACAGAGTCATCTTTCCACCATTTGATGATATAGGGCCATAAGATACTTCAGGCACTGGAAGAAAACCTAGACTATATGGTTCTTTTGGGATCCACTGCAGAGGATACTCCCAAGACAGAGAGGCATTCTGACCTTGCCAGTCCATCAGGAATAATTAAGGCCACTAGGACTCCATTGTAATGGAGTACCTAAAGGACATAGAATTGGGGTTTTTTTGAGTTGATGAATGGGTATCTAAGCTAGGCAGAAACAATCTAGGCAGATTCCCATAGGGCATATATGTGGAAAGGGTTTTGATGGGAATTCTGACCCTGGAGAAAAGCTTGACCTGTTTGCTCCAGTGAGAAGAGCTGGAGCTAGGATTCATGCCATCCTTACTCAGCATCAGTGACATCACCTCAGCAGGAAACCAGCCCCTGAATGAAATGTGCTCACTGTGAGACCTGCCAGGAAGGCATTCCAGCACCAGAGGTGGGATGAAGGCACAGATGTTCAAGCCACTGTGGGGGTCTCCTGCAGGGAGTATGAGGCACAACCCCCAGATCACAGAGAACAATGTGACAATGCTCCAAGACACCGGGGTAGCAGCGGTTGGATATGAGCACCCTACTAAGATGATGGGCTTCATGGTTTTTCTGAGAATCACGAACAAGGGAGGGGGAGGTCCTAGGAATGGAAGATCAACCATCTACTTATGGTTGTGACTAGGTACCTTTTAAACAATCTTTTGGTCTTTGATTCTTTATTCTCTGATTCCTTGGGGACTTCAACTCATGTGTGTCAGGAGGTGTGAAAATGTCAGAAGAGTCTGTGACAATGCATGTTGACCACAGGACAAGATTGTGGCCTCTACCACAGCCACTTTACCCCCTGAGCCTCCACAGTAATGCAGGAAGTTTTTTGCTGAGGCAGAAACCCCACTCTTTTTCTAGGGTCATTCTGTTTTTATGTTTTATTCGTAGGATTATTCTTGTGCTGTCCTTAACTAAATGCAAAGAAAACTGAAAATATCACACAGTGCTAATCACAAAAAATGGCCTTTTTGTGTTTTAAGGACAAAAGTTCAATTCATTAAAAATGTGCCTTTGCTCACAGGAAACAATCGTGCTTCAGTCTGCCCTTCCAACAACAGCATCAGAACTCCAAACAATGCTTCCCCACCCTGTGTGTATGACTGTATTTCTTGCAAACTCCCATCCATCATTATAATCCCTCCTATGGAAAGGTTGCTTTTTCAAGAACTGAGGGGTGTGAGGGGCACAGGGAATCCTCTCTCAGTATACAACAGGCCAACATCATGGAGGTGATTCAGGAATATGTGCTTTTTTCTATTATGAGATTGGTTGTCTAATTAAAGGACTCATGTTACATAAGTTTAGGGCCTCCAGGAAAGCCACCATGGCTGGCTAAAATGCCAGAGATCTTATTTTTTAAAAAAAGTTGAAACTACAATAAAATGGTAGACGTTTCTTGAACATTCTGACAGAAAGCCTTAACAGTAATCCAGTGCCCAAAACAAAAACTACCTGAGGAACGAAAAGGGAAGTTGCTCTCTAAACCTGCTGGTGTGACAACAACCAACATAGAAGAGCAGGCGCAGCAAACAAAATGGTGTTTGGGCTCACGTTCTCTCACCTGGATGCAGCCAGGAATCAGCATCAAGGAACAGCTTCCCATGAGGGGGCACTACACTACAGGCTTGGAGATCACCTCCAGGACTTGTACAAAGACACCGAACAGAGAGGGAAGCACATTTCAGCTTTGTTTATCCTCCTCTGCAAAAACTAAGATGATGAAGAATTACTGTGTTTATCCTGTTAAAAGCTACACTTCTATGTGTAATTCTGTCCACCATGACAACTGGAACAAAAACTCCCAAACACAAATCTGGAATGCAAGGAGAATTTGGGATTTCTGAACTTTTAACGGCTTGATTTCACAGTTACTGAAGAGGACCTTAATACAAACTAAGGACTTCTGTGTGCAATTTTTTAATGAACAAGGGATCGTCTTTATTGGCAAATGGGACAGATTAATTTGTGGGCTGGATTTTGTGTCTAGCCAGCAAGAGGAAGGAAATTGAAGGGCTGGCCTGAGTCATTACTACTGACCTACACCACAAGCAACACTTCAATGGACATTATATGAGGACCTCAGCTAGGAAGAAATAACAAAGAGGAAGATAAGAAAGCTTTTAGTGGGGTTTGCCTTTTCTCCATCATCCAAAGTTTTAATTTTTGGTAATCCAGGATCACAACACTGATGTATCCACACACAAATTTTGGAAAATCTTAATGAGAACTGGTTATGCAAACATTTCCAAACAGGTGTTCTTTTACAGCAGCCAATATAGGCAATTCCAAGCTCAGTTACAATTTCAAGGAAATTTTTGGGCTTATTCTTTTTCTGCCCTGAGATGCTCCATGCAAAGGATACCCCAAGTTGCCTGTTCCTGGCAGGTGCCTTTCCCAGACTGAAATCCCCAGTTGCAGCTCCCAGGGAGCCTTTGGGAGGCAGTTCTTGGTTTCTTGCAGTGTATTCCATTTCTGTGTTGTGGGATTCTGAGCTCTGCAAAAAGCTGGATTTTTTCCTGAATCCTTCTGTGATTCTTCTGTTGCAGCTAAATCCCTTTGCAAATCTGAAGCAGAGCCCTCATGCTGCAGTAAATTGTTGCCCAGCCCCTGGTACTTTACACATCCCTGTGCAGGTAATTGCTATATTGGGGTCTTAGCCTTACCTGCACCTCACACACTGTTTCCCTTCCTTCCTTAGCAGTGAGAAAAAGCCTAAAGAGAGAGGATCCAGGATAATGAGCATTGTCTGCTTTTCCCCTTAGAGAAGTCTTGGATAACATTACTGGGACTCTTAAAATACTTCTACTCCATTTGGAAATGCTAAAGCAAGAACTTCATCAGAGTCTTCCTCTGTACTATTATATATGGGTGTTGATGGCAATAACTTCAGTTGGGCTGGGGCGGGGAGGGTGACACTCAAGGCTTCTGTAGAAATTATTCTGAACAAACCAATCCACTCACTACCAGAACATCTAGAACACTTCATTGTGGTTTTCTGTTTCTTTCACATTCAGGTAGGCTACTCACCCTGTGGTCATTTCTTCAGGCTTTCTGCTCC